CACCCCCCCCCACCCCAGGAGCCAGAGGAAATGGTGAACAATGTCTGTATTTATGCATATTCTGAAGTAGTGTTTTCATATTAGTGTATTACTACCAAAATATATTTCGAGAGAAGAAGGATTTACACCTTACTAAGTGCTGTTTGTGATGAAAGGAAAAAGTAATTGTAACTCAACATTACACTAAAGCAGAAAGTATTTGAAAGCTAATAATGTTTCAGGAAATGACTACTGTAGCAGCCCTAATAATTAGTCTTCCTATGGTTGGATACCATAGAATAAACATTGTTTTGAGAGATCTGAAAACAGATTTGATTAATTTTTTACAAATGGTATCTGTCCTCTCCTTCTTTAAACAGAAAAAGTCTTGTTTCTGGGAAATTATATATCATTTTAAGAGGCCAATGATGTGTTGTTTCATAGGTGAACTTACGTGTTAAATGAGAGGAGCAAGAGGTAGCCTGCAGTAACTCAGTTTGATGCTCTTCTGAACAAGAATGAACATGTAAAGTTAATGTGTATGTGATGAGAAGAACGAGCTCTAAGTTGTGCATGCAGTGCTTTTGGTTCAAAACGCGATGGATCACACACAGAGAGAAATATTTTAGTATAAGAAGCGTTTGTATTGGACATTGATAATAAAAAGCAGTTAAGAGGATACAAATAGAAAAGACAATGTGAATTAATGAATGTCTGACGCTTAGTACATTGAAGTGAGGGCTAATGTTTACTTTTTTTGTTTCACTCTAGTCTTTATCAAGTGATTGTGCTTCCGCTGGGTTTGCAAAGCACTTTTATTTGTGACTCCTTTGCTGCTGCAGCTTTCTTTAGTAACACCACTGATGTTAAAGGATATGTGGCAGCTGAATTTCGGGCGAAGGATGTTGCTGATAATATGTCAATTGCTCTTGGAGACAGACATTACTACGGAAAGTTTTATAATGCTCCTTTAAAGCTGGGAGAAGAGTATTGTGTTTTTTTGAGAATAATAAGTGAGTGGAATAAGGTAATGGATATTTTAAAACCTTTTCTTTACACCTGTTGAATGACATGTTGCTGGGGAAAAAAGAGGAAAATGTTAGCTTTGTGTTAAATTTTTTATGATGTTGCAAGGATCTGTTAGTTGACAGAATTAGATTAAATCTGAAGCTCTTTGAATAACTCTTGTAATTCCTTACAGATATTTATGTCATTGTAATGTTGGAGCAACTCTGGATGCCAAAGGCAAACAATGGAAAAACCTAAAAATGAAGGCCATTGCTGCCCGCAGTAATTGAGGGTGTCTTTATTGGGCCAGAATTTAGTGAAAGAGATTAGTATAAGAATCTGAAAATTACTCCTTAGCAGTGAAATATTCACCCATTTTAATTTCTAATTGAATGTTTTATAGCAAAATATTACAGTTCTCCAAATGACAAGGAAAAACATATTTTATCATGTGTGTTACCTTCCACGTAGCAACGAATGTCAACTCCAGCTCCCTTGGGAAAGCCTTGTGGAAAAAAGTACATTACTAGCATTAATTTTTTGTCATTTTACAATAATTATATATTTTAATTAGAAACAAAAAGTTTCTAAAATGTATATCTCAGCTGTTTCATGCTCCACTGTCTTGCCTCCCATGATGTCATTATGCCACTAGTTTTCCGTCGTTATCTGTCTCGGGGTCAACAGCTTGTAATCTTTTTGTAATATAAATCTCAGCAGTAGGAAGCTTTTCTCATATGGGCCAGGTGATAGACTTTTCATGTGCATACAGTTCCTGAATGTCAAATGTAAAAACTGAACAAAGCAACCCCTACTAAAGAAAAAAACACCTCAACAGTGCCTCACCCTGCCACTCAAAAGAATAGACTCTATTAAAATAGAGTTTTAGGGCTTTGTGCATACAGCACAAAGCAAGGAGGCACACAAAAACCGATCTGTGAGGCACTTGTAAATAATTCTCTACAATTTCGGAAGCTTACACCCAAATCTCAGTGAGTTAAGCTAGCTTCTATTAAGAAATGTAACTGTCTCAGTCCAAAGTGAGTGAAATAAAACAAGTACATGTAATACCAGTTACTGGTATCTACTAGTCTGTGCAGCATATGTTTTGTGTGGCATCTACTTTAACAATAGTCTAAGGAGTTTTTATAGCACAGATAAAGTGCTTTCTGATCCTGATACAAGTCTGTTGTTTGTCATAAATTTTTAATTAATTGTATGAGGGAATAAGTACGGAAATTACATTTGAAGGCATTCAGTTCATGAATAATGTTAAGTTAGCCCAAAATACCCTGGAATTTGGACAACAAACTGTATGTTTTAGAAAAATACTCTGTGGAGCAGGCTTGTTAATGAGTCAAACGTATACAAGTTTATCCTCTTTAAGCACTCCTAAATACATCCTTGAACTCTATGTATCCTTGGGTTTTATGCATTGGTTT